TACGACAAATGCGTACAAACATGAATTTTGTTTATGTACTAAATGTTGTAAATGTATTTTTCATGTATATATGTTTTATGACGTTATTTTCAATTTGATCAAGAACGTAAACTTGCCAACGCTGTTTGAGTACAACATGAGCGACAGTTTAGCCAATCACAACTCACCGGGCCAAACTAACCAACCTGAGCCCACTGCCCGTTTCTGAGGGAGTGGTTTCATAGACTCAGGAAGTCGACCGGTCGTTCGAGGACAGAGGAGAGCGCGGCTGAAAATAAAGGTGAAGTTTATGAAAAATAAGACTTTTTAAAAAAGAAAAACCACGAATACATGTTATATTGCACCCCATAAACACAATCATGCAAAGACAAAAAGCAGTCAACCCTTTAAATGTTAAACGGAAATTAGCAAGTTGGCAGAAAAAGCTAGAGATGAACATTTTGAATCGTGACTAGTTACGACACTTTCTTTTTTTTTTTACATACCATTCCAAATACCCTTCATTGATGCTCTCAATACTAGTCCTCCTCCAGTGAGTCTGGATCAAATATTAACTATTACTGGGCATGCTCAGTGCAGCCCTGTACGGCTCACTGGATAGCAATCATAAACAGCCAGTGGCTTTTGGTTTTTCCTCAGGGCAGAGCGCCAACATGTTCAAGCCAACAATAAAAAAACTGTGTTGTTAAGAAACTTTTCATGTTTGCAGACAAAATCATCCTATAATAAAGAAAACAATTTTTAATGCAATATCCATATTATTAAAAGACAGGTGAGAGTGTGTGAGAGAAAATAATTTAGAGTACATGTATATGTGTACTTCTCAATATAGAGGGATTCTCTTCTCCTTTGTTTCCCACTGTGTATATGTGCATGTGTGTGCGTGTTCCTTCATTATCATTATTCCTGTGTGTCGTCATACTGCCCGCACTGCCTCTCCTTCCCCCAAGCCAGCTAGCGAACAGCATCATGGGGGAAACAGCAAGATTACCCAATCAATCTTCCCCAGAGAGAGAGAGAGAGAGGGAATGTGGGGGATGGGAAGGCAGACACGCATATACGCACACAACGTCTATATACAGTATGCAATTTCCATATTTTACTACACTAATCTTCCTGATGACATCATACCAGGCGGCAAACATCAGAATGATTAATTGGAGACCTAATACTCCAGACACGGGGGATACTTCGAAAAATCTCTCGAGGAGAAAGACTAAGATTGCACTGTGTATATGTTGCAAGCAGGACTCGAACCTCAACATGTCTGGTGCATTAAATACGGCCTTTTCAGATTTTAAAAGGCCAGAATGAAACAGTCTCTTCTTCACTCGAATTGATTTTTCCCATTACACAGTGAAACTACTGTTTATACAACAGGCAGTGTTTCCTTGACTGTCCACGTAAATATGAGTCACGTTATTGGCTGTCTATTGAGAAGCATCTAGTCGTAACATTCTAACATTGCACAATTTTGGCACCAGCAAAAGTGGTGCTAACCCTTCTCTGGAGCCGGGTTTTATAATCCTGGGTAAAAAGCAGCGCTAACCCTGCTTCTAAATTACAAGTATAAAACGATCCTTTACCTGAGGTAAACTCATGGATAAGCAAAGTGTAAAAAGCCCTTATGGCTGGTTCCAGACGTTGCCCACAAGCTCAGTTAACTTAAAGCGGAATAAAAGGAAATGAGGAATAAATATTCCATGTTTCTGCAAATATTAAGGGGAAACTGAAAAATATGGGCAACAGGTTGTAAACCAAGAATTATAAAATGGGAAAGAGATACTTAGAGTAAACACAGAGAGAAACTTTGTAAATGAAGCAGGAAGAGAGTTTAAAGATATTTTAGCATTAAATGACAACACAGACACAACTCTTTTCACCAAGTCTCATTTCTCTGGAAAACAGAGGTAAATTTGTCCTAAGTCTGTTAATTAACCCAACTGAAATTCAAGACACGGATGGTCATGTGATTTCAGGACAACCCACTTTATGTAGAATGGAAAAATTCTATAAAATACAGTATTTAACTGACATCTATTTTAAACTTATGTGCGTATATGATTTTAGATATTTGTTTTACATGATCTTTTTTTAAGTCAAGCAAATTATTATTTTTTTACTATTTTAATCTATTCCTTTGTGGGAAAATTGTGATTTTTTTTAATCAGGACTAACATAAGAAGTAGTTGGATTGTCAAGCAGATCCGAGGTGTAAGCATGTTCTGAGATAATCAATGCTCATTATAAAGCTTTACGACTCAAGCCCAGTAGAAAGTGAAGAGCACACAGATGACTCTGGCATTCAGAGGTGTTGCGTCCCAACATTCCAATCCCATTGCCAAGACACCAATCCCACAAGATCCCTGGATTAGCCCTCAACCATTCCCAGGATTATAGGATTAGACCGTTATATTCCATTATCTTATACCTAGAGGATTCCTGACTGTTTGAATGTTAGCACAGCAGAAGCAGCAAGGAAGGAGTCGGCAATGCAGACCTGAAGACTCAAACAGGTACGGACACACACACACACCACAGGCCTATACAGAGTTGTGACCCAACAAGGGAGCAAAGGGATCAGAATAAGAACATGATAAATCACTGAACTCAAGGACACCCTAGTAGCAGCAAAGACCTTGCCAAGACAGGCACACATGATACTGCAGCTCTACAACACACATAGGCTCATTTACACACACACAAAAGACTGTTTGCAGTGGAACACAAAAATAAATGTACATATACATTGACTGGTCATAAAAAAACAGTTTATAGTGACCTCAAGCTCCAAAAAGGACAAATAAGCATTGAACACACCATAAAATACACCTTATGACTCACCTTATATATTACAACACCTTATGAGTTATATTCCAAGTGTTCTGAAGTCATATGATAATGTATACATGATGCATGATAACTGTGATAAAAGCACTGATTTTAAATCAATATTTATATTATATTATATTATATTATATATATATATATATATGGGTATTCATAATTTTGCTTTGACAGCTGATGGTTACTTTTGTTACATTAGAAAGATATACTGTATGTAAAAAATTGTTGTAAAACACTTTTTGCGTTCACAGCAGTGTTTTTATTGTTAATTCAAAATAATGTTCATTAATTGAAAAAAGATTAAATAAAATATAATATTAGATTAAAACCTTGAAATGTTACATTGGGAACAAACTAAAAAAAAAGTACTAAAATGGTTAAAAAATAGAAAAATTACAAAAGCACAAAATACGCTATAAAATATGCTATACAAATACTATAAATGTATATAAATAATACTAAAATAACACTGTTCCACTGAACACTGACTTTGAATAAAATTATATTTTTTGGGTGAACTATTCCTTTAAGCAGATGAAGAGAATGTTAAAAACTGCATACTGGAAAAAAATCCACACGTTCTAATCAGAAAAAAAATTCTTTTGGTTTAGAAAAAAAGGAAATATTTGCACAACTAATGAAAAGGATGTGCATATTTAACCATGTTTAACAAAGTAATTTAAACAAGTAATACATTTAAGATCAATGAGCGACGACACGCATGAGGCGTTTGCGATTAGCTATTAGTAAAATACTGCAAATCACATCCCAGAGGGCGGATACATTTTAGTCAAATATTTGCTTTGCTTTTTTATACAAGCCAGTGCAATGTTGGTCGGTGGAATGAAATTGGATTGGTTTCCTTCCAGATGTTGACAGAACTCTTGACACTGTGCAGGCTCCTTCTGAGCTGTCGTCTCTATAAACGCCACCAGTCAAGTTCAGCATGATAGACTAGAGGTCAGGCTCTCTGAACTAACCCTGATACCATTAGCCACTAAATCACATTCCCTTTTTATCTCTCTTGTTCTGTCTTAGCTTATGTAAATGATGTTTCTGAAGCTACTTCACCAGACGTTAGAACATAGCTCTTGTAGAACTGACTTCAACACAGTACAAAATTCAGTATATTTAAAACTAATTGTATCATATTAGTGACAAGAATGAATGAATCAGCCAATATTTGTCCATTTTTAGACTATTAGCTTTAACCAATAACCAGATTAACAGAAATGCCAGTTCAAAACTCAAGACAGCTTTCTCAATGGACAATTTACAACTTATTATTCAGAAAAAATATATTCAGTGAATTAAAAAAAGAAAAACATTTGTTTGAATCATTAAACTATATTCATGTACTATCCATTTAATATTGGCCATAAACTACATTTAACCCAATAAATTCCTTTAATTTAGTTTGATTGAAACTCTTTTTGGAAGACTAAGACTAAGGCATTAAAAACTGCATTGCAACAAAGACTCAGCAAACCTTATATGACCTTAATTTTAACAAACATATGCATTATCCAAACATTTACAGTCAACCTGTTCTGAGCAGTCCATCTATCTTTCTCGCTGACTCGCACCCGCGGGCATCCAGGCAACAACAACTGACATTTCATTATGCCTTTCACTGTTACTGAAATATTACATCTGTGAATGCAGAGCATTCAGTATGTTAATCAGATTACATGTCTGTCTGTGCAAATTAAAGAAGCCACACAATTCTGTGTTCCCAGGAATGCTGTACAGCTGCTTTATGAAAGCCATCGCCGGAAAAATAAACGGAAATAAACATCCCATACTTGTCTTCCTATAACACACAATTACATACCGTGAGCATTTTTAAAAAGGACAACCAGGGAGAAACATGATCTGGAGCAAAACACTCATGTACACACATAACGCATCTAGCACGCACTTATTCACGCGAAAACCCTCTATTCAGCTCACTTAACCTTTATGTGCCTATGGGCGCGCTTGCATCATGTGATGCATTGGTAAGCAAATCTGCCATGTGTCATTCACTAAATACCATCACATGAACAACAGACTGAGGCTGAGACCCAACGCACATTGCCACTGGACGAGAGGCTCGGCTCTGCCCACACCACCTAGAAGACTAAAAGACGACAAGTTTGTCTGTCACTCACATAGTCGTGGAAGGCCTTGGCCTCGCTGGAGTGCTCACAGGTCTCACGGCGGTCTGGAGCGGCACAGTACAAATCCCAGAATACACTGCAACAAGAAACAGGAGAGATTGAGACCGTTAAATACAACACATATAAAGTCAAACCAGTTGAAATACATAAGCCTCATACCACATACAAAAACTTGTAAGCAGCCAATACATTTCTTTGACTTCATTTGAGCTTTATTAATGATGAGGGAAGCCAGCATGGTAAAAAAAAAAAAAAAAAAAAAAAAGTCCAGTTAAACTTGAGCTGCATTGGTGAGGTTTGTACACGCTTTTACCGCTTCCACCCGCTTGGCAAAAACAGCAGGTAACAAATCAATTAAGCCAGGGATTTCCTCAATTAAGAGCCGTTGGGTCCTGCAGGGATGTTTGGAGGGTGAACAAGGTTTGCGTCCAAATGGTATTTTAATTACTGCACTGAAACTAAGTACCTGTTTAACTGGCCCAAATTAGATCACTCCAGGTCTTCAGATATCGATTTAATGGATAACCTATAAAATCTCCTGGAAGAAAAGGCTAACCATTGCCACACGACGTGTGCCTGCTGTTGCTCTCACCAAGAAAGAGTAAATAAACATCATTCAGTCTAAGTTCAGTCAGGTTCTCCTTCAGTATGTGCTATATATATATATATATATATATATGAAGAGCTCTTTTCCAAAACGCGATAAACACCATTTTTAAAAAAAATGCCAAATCGCTATATTTCCTTGTTTAAAATGTACTGCAAGATGCAGTTTCTTTCCAAACAGCAATAAGCGCCAAACTTATTTTTAGCCTAAACGCGATAAATCCTCGAATTCGATGAGCGTTCTACGCAATCCAGCACGGCTAGATCATTACTTTTTTTCAGGTTGTGTTACTAAATTTAATTTCTATTAATTTATAGTATAAGCCCTTGATTATATGTTGCATGTCCTTTTGCTTTTTTCCTGTCCTTTAAATGACAACCCATACATTTTTGAAAAAAAAATGGATGGATTTACGGCGTTTTGAATAAAAATAAAATTAACTTTTAATTTATCATAAACAATATTGTTGTTTAATTTAATAATCATTGTTCAACATGTTCAGACTGAACCAATAAAACATTTTAACAGGATAATTTGAATATTCACAAAATGTGTGGGTCTAAGTAAAAAATGTAATTCTGAAAACTATTGAAATGGATTTATAGCATTTTGGGGGAAAAAACTCCTCATATACATATCCAAATCTCAGACAAAACTATTTTTTGTTTTTATACTATTTGACCTGAATTGGGAAACCTGTTTATAGGATTGCCTTTGTGCTGATGCAGAGAACTATCTGATTTTTTCCTGCAAATATTTACCAGGATAAAGAACATTCCTGAACACTTGTAGAGCAAGTGAAAGAGTAACACAGGAAAGGAGAGGGAGAGAGAGAGAGAGAGAGAGAGAGAGAGAGAGAGAGAGAGAGAGAGAGAGAGAGAGAGAGAGAGAGAGAGAGAGAGAGAGAGAGAGAGAGAGAATAAAAACGAGGGACTCTTTGAATGTGGGGGTGGGGAACATTAATGGAAAGAGGAAACTAGAAACAGACATGGAAAGAGAGAGGGGAAAAATGGAGGGAGAAAAAGAGAGGAATAGGAAGTGAGAGAGAAATAGGTGGGGGGAAAACCTCTCATGTTCCAGATAAATGGCTGGATAGCATTTCAACAAACATATTTTTGCATACATTATTAAGCAAAATCTCTAAATTACAAAAAAATGTCAATGTTCTCCAAATACAACATCCAAACTGAGGGCTATACAAACAAATATAAAGGTTAATGTATGCTATACATTATGCTAAACCTATAAATATAAATGGTTTAAATCATTTTTAAAAAAACTGAATAATTAAACACCCATGTGTCAGCTTTATTTGACATTTAAATAGACTAGCTTGCTGTTAAAAGACTGTTCTGTAAAATGTAACCATTTACTGGACTCTGAGATTATAACAATCACAGATCATATATGTTCAGGAAAAATTTCTCTCCACCATTTTAAACAGCTGAAGCCTTCTATTTCTGCAATGGCCACATGGAACGATAATGCATTTGGCAAAGCTGAATTTTCAGCTCCAATCTTCAGTGTAACATGATCCTTCAGAAATCATTCTAATATGCTGATTTGGTGCACAAGAACATTTGTCGAAATGTCGAAAATGGTTGTCCTGCTTAATACTTTTTGTGAAAACAACTAAACAATATTAGAAAATGTCACATTTGATCAATTTAATGCATCTTGGTTGAATAGAAGTAATAATTTCTTCTTTTTTTAAACTCACTAACTCAACTTTTGAATGGTACTTTTTTCTATTTTGAATCAAATAACCTGTGTAGTAAAGTTTAATGGCTGACTTGTATGCATGGTCCAACCCCACACGCAGGTTTGCCAGACTGACGTCATGGCAGTTCCCTACAAGCCAAACAATGCAATTACAATGAGTCGAGCTTTACGCGTGCCTCTGATGCTAATTGGAGGGAGCTACATTCTCATGTTAATAGATTCTCTTAAACACTAAGCTCTTCTCTGGGGGCAATTAAGCAAATCCTAATGGTGAAGACAGTACAAGACAAAAGCTGGGGTAATACAACCACATCCATACGTAAATATACTTTACAGTAAGGAGCTCTTTCGCATGTGTATGACTAAGAGTACAGTGGTGTGTCATTTGCATTTGAGAAACAAGATAATCCCGACCCTTGTGCAGTCGCTGACCTCAGGTACCGGAACATCCGCAAGGCTTACTGTTAATAACAGAATCCTCGGCGACTGAACACGAGCAATATGAGAGATTCAATTATGGGGAAGTTGGCGAGCCGTCACAAAGAGTTACAATGCGCTAACGCACAGGAGGTGAGGTTTAACAACAGGCGTTCCTTCCTCAAATCTACACTTATCTCCCTTTATCCTATACGACTACTACCGACCGGTGAGCTGTTTTGACCCCCTGGCCCCCCACTGGCCCTCAGTTTGTCACTGACCACCCCCAATGAAGGAGAATATATCCAAATTGGGCCAGTGGGGGATTCAGACACTTCCCCACAAAGGGGAACGGTATGCAAAGAGTTAATCTGTGTTTGGGGTCTTTAACAGGAACAAAGGACAGCAGCAGAGACAAAGGTTGATGGAAGGGGTTTAGAGGAGGGATGGGACACGTCTTTGCCCCACCATCTGGGCCTTTTGTCTGAAGGAGAGGGGTGGGAGAGACCAGACCCGGCAGACGTGGCCTCCATAAAGGCTGCCTGACCCAATAATACATCCACTGCCATGGGTCAAACCGCAGCAGGTTAAACATAAAGTTTGACGGCGGGTGTCACAGCCAACCTTAAACCTAGATTAGTATAAATCAATACGGAGAAAGTGAATACAAACAATATTGAAGGTGCTCTTGTAATAGATAGACTTTCTCTCTTTGGTGGGGTTGCTTTTGAGTTAGGAGTGAGGAAATTTTTGGCTTAACTGTATCTTTCACATTTGTCGGTTAACCAGGTCAGGGAACAAGGATGAGGATTTTTTTCTGCTTGTTCAAAAAATATATAGTTTTTTTAATATTATTTGTTCTTTAATATTTATTTATAAATTAAATTAATTAAATTATATATATATATATATATATATATATGAAGAGTTCAGATGCAAAAGCCTCTAAATGCAATTTGAAATTTTCTTCTTTAATGATGATTTTTATCAAACTTCTATATTAAATTTCAGTAATTTCACTTAAATAACAATTAATAGGTAATTATCATTGCCATTTAAGTGAAATCACTGAACTTAAATATACAAGTTTGATAAAAATGATCATTCTAGAAGAAAATTTCAAATGGTACTTAGAGGCTTTTGCATCTGAACTCTTCATATATATATACTATTATATATATATATATATATATATATATACCAAGATTAACACGAGTCATTCTTGAAATTTCAACAAAATCTCATCTGTCAACCAGCGAGATAATTGTACCAAGCTGACAAGTTTAAAAAGTTGGACATTCAGAATCCTCCATCCTTGCTGTTAAGCAGGTGTAATGCGATACAGGTACAAGCTATAAATCCTAGCTCTGAGTTTTTGCTTTAACCAGCCATAACGAGAGGTGCATGATTAGACATTTTAGAGGTTTGGTCAAACTAACTCTGCATAACAGTAATAGTGATGCTTGTCTTAGTTAATACTCCTAAATATGATCGGATGAGCGGTGATTTCGTAGCTTGATGGCAAATGAGTGCGTTCAGCAAGTACTGAGGAAAAAAAACACTTAAAAACAACTTTACAGTGCATTCATAATAAAAGAAATATATCTGTCCATTTTGAAATACTCACTGTACTAGATTGCACACAGATATATAGACGGCTCTTCAAGCAAAAATAAAAAACACATACGGGACTTACCACCACCATGAATGGAGGAATCCAGGAGGCTCCCCTAGCGTAATGTTCTTCTCCCATCGGATCTACAACAGGCAGTGTGAGGAAAGAATGGAGAAAGAGAGTGGTTTTGAGATTGTAGATAATATGCGACACATTTTCCTGTCAGACGTTCTACAGACTGGTCCCTGACCCAATCCACATCCCATACATCATCCTGCTTTTTTCCACCACAGCATTATACTGTTCCTCACTCCATCCTTCTATAGGAGAAATATATCAGATGTTCCTGATAGGAGTCATAGGACGTGCGTTGAATTGATTTTGGTCTGGGCAATTTCACTTTTTTTGGACTAATACAACAGAATTATGGTCAATGCATATCACCCTCACATTGTTTCAAACCATGACTTTCGTTATACGGACAAAAATAGCTCTTGAAAATATCTTCTTTCATGGTCAGCAGAAGTAAGAAAGTCAAGTAAATGATGAGAAAATACATATTTTGGTTGAACTACATTATGCCTTTAACAACATACAACATGTATAATAACTAAAGTCAGCATTCACAATGCAAACATAATTATGACCAATAGTAAGTGGCTTCCACCATGACTGATTAATTAAGACACTCTCAACTCAGAAAGTCAGAGCTCAAAGAAAATCCAGAGATTCACAACTGGTAGTTACAATGTTGAAGCCCTTCACATGCCCATATCTCATACATACGACTACTGCTACATGACTTTAAGGCAACGTCATTACTCTGCTTTATCAACCATTGTGGAGACCTACAGCAGGCATTAGCCTTCTAGAGCCATGACCCTAAAAATTAATCATGGCTTCTGTTTTTCCTACGCTTCATTCAGTCCTTGGGGCTCACTTTCACTCTCCATCCCTTCTGCTTGTGTGGAAATGACCAGGGCGCCTCTCATTAAGGCCATAATCTCAGTGTATTTAAGAAACGTTCCCCTTTGTAATAGGTGAGTAGAGGGACCTGAACTGACCATGGGAAGTGTGAGGAATGAATTAGCCTATTATAACAATTATATATGGATGATTACACAGGAAAATGTAGCGAGAAAAACAATTCTAAGAGGATAGAGAGGATAGGTTTGTTCACTGCAGCTGAAAGTGGATTACCGAAGCAGGTCTGAAGGTTAAGAACACATTATCAGTCAATTTCACCTCGTCAGGCTGCCAAACGGCACGATAAACATCTGACCAACTTGTGGTGCTTTTGAGAAGTGCTGCAGAAACAGAGAAACAATGCCGCAACGCAGCAGAGATGCCGCCGAGTCAACGGGGTGGAAAAAAACAGCCCGGGGTAACAGAGCAATGGGCGGAAATGGCTGTCCACAAATACACTGCAACTAAAAGTCCTGCCGGTCGGCGTAACATAAACAGCTATTTACCAGATAATTAATGACGGGTAATTAATAATTCTGCACATGGTTGGTGCACACGTACTGGTTCATAGATTCTGAGAGAGGAGAAATATAGGGAAAAGCAAACAATTATGTGAATATGTTGTGTGTTAGATATGTATTTATACAAACAAAAAAAATCTAAAGTTACCATTTAAATGTGGAATGGATGAACACATATCCTGAAACATGTTACTGTGGCAGTACAGCACAGCACACACTCAACACACACAACATCCTGACCAGTTCAAATGAAACAAGTGGATTCAATTTAGATTTTATAGCATTACATAAAGAACAAGTTTGATAGAAAACATGCTTTTGTAAGTGATGCCAAATCACCACATTAGGAAAAAAATATATATATTGCACATTGCAAAATTTAAATATATTGTATTTTGCTTATTGTGTGCATTGCATTTACACACAAAAGTGTCAATAATAATAACATAACTTACATAAGTATACATATGTACTCCTGGGCAAAACAAATATGTATAATATATATATATATATATATATATATATATATATATATATATATATATATATATATATACTGTATATATAAAAAGCTTTTATTTGTCTTAACCACAAGTGATTCGTCAGGAAATTAGACACATTTAAGAAAATACACTACTTAAAAAGCCATTGCTGTCTCAAAAAAACAAAACAAAGGCAGAATGATATTTTGTGGTGATCCTTTTTAGCTCCTGGTATTGGTTCACTGTGAAAATGCATTTAATGCTTAGGAGTACAGGAGAATATTGCAGACTGACTTGCTTCCCAGTTCCCACAAATGAAAAGTTGTTATCAAAAGAGCAAAGACAATGCTCCTGCCCAAATTGCAAAGAACGCAAAGAAGTGGCTTGAGAACAAGTCCATCAGGCTCATGTTTTGACCTGATGGTCATACATTATAGTGAATATTTGGTCTCACATTAAACTCAATCGAACTGGGAGCCTTTTTTTGGTTACTTTATAAATTAATAATACACTTTAAAATATCAAAATGTTTACATCTGCCTGTGGGTTTTGCAAATATTTAACCATTACAAGTATTACAAATTGCTTGAGACCAAATCTTGTAACTCCCTTGCCTCCTCAAACTGTCAGTCAAAGCTCATAACTCCACCCCATTTCTATCCTAAATGAAGTGTCACAAGCAGTTTGGAGCATCTCTGCTTATTTACGATGGAAGGGTAAATAAAGAATTGAAGAGTTCAGATGCAAAAGCCTCTAAGTGCCATTTGAAATTTTCTTCTAGAATGATCATTTTCATCAAGCTTGTATATTTAAGTTCAGTGATTTCACTTAAATGGCAATGATGATTACCTATTAATTGTTTTTTAAGTGAAATTACGGAACTTAAATATACAAGCTTGATAAAATTCATCATTAAAGAAGAAAATTTCAAATGGCATTTAGAGGCTTTTGCATCTGAACTCTTCAATTGGTTCTTTGAATTAGTACAGCGATTTCTTTACTCAAGAAACGCTTTAATATAAAAAGGGTGATCTTTTATGAATTTGAGGAGTGGAGAAGAGCATCTTAGATTTGACCTCGAGTGACAGCCAAAATAGCCTGTGTGTAGCTACGCTTCTTTATAATGTAAAATTTTGGCCAAATGACACAAAAAAACAACAACAGAAAAATACAGCTATAATAAACTTCATAACTTTAAGCTGATGAAAACGTGATGTGATGGACTGACTGCCTCAGATGCAGACGTTCTAATGACGAAAAAGCATGACATTCACTGAAAAAATTAATGTGCAATTCTTTTTTTGGCTTGACCCATTTTTTATTTTATTTTTTGCCCAGGAGTGTATATATGTAGTTTTCGAACTACAAATTGTGTGTGTGTGTGTACGTGTGTATAAGTAAAAGTAGCACTATACTTGTAGGGTCCATATGTCCTCACTAATATAGTGAACCCAGATCACTTATTAGTTAGGTGGCTAGTTAAAAAGGCTTATAAATCAATCATGCTTCTATTTAAATTTAATGCTGCACATGTTTCTGTGAGTGTCATTTTTAGGGAGCAATAGGGGATAGAAAATATCATTAACCCAATGGAAGTCTATGAGATGTCCTCAGAAACAAATTGTGTGTGTCCATGCATGTGTGTGAAAATAGAGGCTTACCTCGGAAAGGAAGGTCTGTGCTGATTTCTGAGCCCCAACATGCAACAAGTACTCGTACACGTATAAAGCTAATCTAGAAGGAAACAAGAAAGAAACAGTCGTTATATTCATGGTATAACAGACTTCACTGAGAAGAAATGTTAAATCTAAATAAACGTATTTCATGAACAATATCAATACAAATATAGTGCTATTTGACATCAAGTTTGATGTAGCAAGTTGTGAATGTACATATTTTATGAAAATCAACGACAAGTAAAGTTCCCAGTGCAGATCACTATTTGTGTGGCTGCCAAATAAAGTTTAGCATGCTGCCGTAGGGGCCATTCATAGAGACAGAATGCGTTTTGCAGTTAAAAATGTGAGACGCAGTGAAGTGGAGCAAAAAGAAGTTCTTTTAATTTGAGCGCAGCATTTTCAGAACACCTTGTCATGCATGAGACACTGCAAAAAACACTAGACACAAGTAAGCACAATGGTCAAATACATCCGCCTAGTGCATGTTTACGTAGGAAAAACAGCGCAGTGGATTGGAAAAACACATTCTGTGTATACAGCCCCTTAGAAGCTAGCTGCTGATGTAGGCAGCTCGCTAGGTTTTAGAACATAGCTATAGACCTGGATTCTGTTCAAAAGTGTCTGAAAGAAAATCAGTGGCTACAGACAGATTGTTGATTACACAAGTCCACAGGCACACACAAAACACCCATCAACCACAGCGGCCGCGTATCCGATCTCCACAGCCCGTTTACTCTGTGAAAAGAGCAGAGAGATCAGCCAAAGCAAGCATGGCTGGAGTTGTCACAGTAATCAGACAGCACCATCGCGGTTCTTGTGTTTTTGTCATTTTCTGTATCCATTATGTCTGTTGTTTAGCCGCTTGGGCTAGCAATTACCCAGCTCCCAGTGTACCGCAGGGCTGAAACATACCATCCCTCTTGCTCCAATCCTTTCCTTTTCTCTTCCATCAGCCATGAGAGAAAATAGCCCTGCAAAGCTCTCCGAGCAAAATTACATCGAGAGACGGGCACAATTTGGTAGAAACAGAGTTTGTGTCTGGATGCGGCACATTTGGGGCAAAAACACTTATTTCCACCATGGGTAAGGTGATGATGGCGTACACAACAGAGTGGCTATTCCATGTGGACGTGTTCATGTCAAAATCAGACTTCTCAACACAAGAGATAACATATTTGCTTATTATATGTAAAATTAAGCACTGCTTGAACAAAAAAAGATAACGTAAAGGTATAGTTCACCGATTGGCTTTCATTGTATGAATAAAAAGAGCTGAAACATTCTTTTTAAAATATCTTCTTTTATGTTCAACAGAAGAAAAAAAGCCATACTAGTTTGGGAATGATTAACATGATGACAGAACAAAAATAAATAAATAAATAAAAATGTACTACACCATCCCTTGAAGATTTTTTGACCTTTTCCACTTATAGATACAGTGAGACTAAGAACAGGAAATGCGAAAACAGAAAACGTTGGATTCGAATGTGTCACACACATAAACACCACGGCTCAATGTTTTGAAGCATGTATGTTAACCGTTTACCAATATTTACGAAAATTAGCGATCTTGTAATAAATTATTAAAGACATTTTAATTAAAATATTACATGTAAAACTTAAACTAAATGAAAATTAGAAACATTAACTCGGCAACTAACTAAAGTAAGTTTAAGTTGAAACACAAAAATGACTAACCGGGAATGAATTAAATAAAAACGTATAATTTTACATTATAAAATTGCTAAAATTAAACAACTGAAAATGCAAAAATAAAAACAAACAATAATGTTAATAAAAACTATAATATAACACTAATCTGATGGAGCATTCTCTTTAACACACATACTCCAACACACTGGGCAGAAGCGTGTATTTGTGTGGGAGCAGGAAGCTTTCCCAGGCATCAGCGAGGAGGTGAATGAGTCAGTGGAAGGAGGCATCCAGGGTGGCAGGCTCATAAATAGCTGAGGAGAGCTCCCACTGATCAGCCAGTCAATGACTGTGATAAAGTTGGATATGAAAGACAGGGAGGAGATCCAGCGCTCCATTACAGCACAAACACTAGCACACTGGCGCGGGAGAGTGACCAGAATGATAATGCCTCCTACCGAGATAGTGTTGGGGTCAACGACGACCATAAAACTGTGGATGAGAGCGAGAGGTTCAAACAAAGTCCATCTAAAGGTTCTTCTATTGCCACAAAGGATCTACGGAATTAGAAAGTCAGCTATACGTGAGGTTTTAAAAATAAGCAACACTTTACAGTTCATGTGACAGGCAAAACAAAGAGAAGTAAGTGTGGGAGATTTGGCAAAAATATCATATCACAGTTTTTAATCTTATCAAGATTTTTTTTAATGTTGGTTTTGAAGACTATTTTCCAAAATACTGAGCATTAGAGCCAGACTAAATTCCCTTAAAAACCTCTTTAAAGAAAGATTGTAGTCTTGTGATACAGTACACATTCTCAACATACTGTCCCAACATACTGTACAACACCATGTACTACATACACATCATATGTGGCAATGCTAAGGTCACGCTCACGTGACATTACAGTACTTTGCCATCATGGAGGTTTATTATTTGCATGCGTTTTAAGGCCTTGCCAGGTAAAGTTTTTCATTTTCAAGCTGCTCTGACATAAGCTTTCGGAGCACGTTCAACTGAAATACACACGCACGCACACTAAAAGACTGTCACACAGCACCCGAGTACTGAACAATGTTTTTTTTCACACCTTATTGCGTTTAAACCATAGACTGTAAAAAAAAGATGGACGACGCCCCTTCGCTCTTTTCCATCAGAGAGAACTGAAGCCGCCAGAGTCTCGATATGACGCTGACATCTTGGAACTTGAGTCTGCGCACTTGCGTGTTTCGGGACCAGTCATGCGCAGTCGTGAGCAGGAAGTGAAGCCGCGAAATCAAGGCCGCGCCCTCATTCTCGCTGAATCAAACGCAAGCACACGCCCCACACTTTCAGTGTCCTCTGTCTGCTTCGTTCTTCTCCAATGATGTCTGCTGATTGCAGAACCTCGTTAAAATAAGGTAAATACAACTACTAACCACATGCTTCAGTGACTACCTCGCACAGAGAACCTGTCAATCACAGCTGTCAATCATGATGTCAGAGCACTGTTTTTATCATCACATAACTAACTAAAAACAAACTTATTTTAAAAACGAACACTTGAAATTACATCGACGTGATAGAAACTACAGTAAATGACAGAAACTATCTTTGGAAAAAGGATATGTGAAGTGTAATTTAATTGTTTAGTTGGTCTCGCGTCCCGTTGAATAACATGGGGAGGCGGGGGTTATGAGCTATACTAGGTCCAGTCACAGGGGGGCGATCGAGACGTTTTGGCTTCACTTTTGAGGACTTGTGCGGCACGCTTGGTTTAAACTGTCAAATACACACAAGTTTTACACAAACACGTAGCTTATGTTAAAAGTTCGGATGCATCAGTAGTATGTTCGTTGGATCCGTGCACTCGGTCTTAAAATGACATCATCCAAATATTCCTGTTGGTGTCATTGTAAATCAAACAACAAAATACAAAAACATTCCCTGCTCTCTTGACTAAATAACTTCAGTAGCTTTAAAGCTGCAGTCCGGCGTTTTTCCTCTTTGTTGCCATCTCTGTTCGAAACCTGCAATTGCTGTCATTCGCAGAATTTATCAACTTTACGCGAGTTGTACTTCAACACCCTCGACGCGGCACAGTGCGGATGAACACAGTGTTTGAGGAGAGTGTGAAGCTGTCAGTCACAGCGCCGGTGTGGATACTGGTATTCACAATCACAGATTATTATTTTTGGAAGTATGACCAACATAATAACGTCATTTGAACAAGTAAGAAATGTTATGACGCAAAGACAAGCTCAATTTTCCCACAGAAATCCACCAGTACCACTGGAGTTTAAAACATTATCACAAGCTTACCGCTTTAAATCGAGCCAAGACAAGCAGATAGTTTTGAACACTGGCTGGTTATGTATTTTCTCAAATATGTATTTTGGATCATTTTTAACCCCCAAAAAAGTTACGGACTGCAGCTTTCAGAATCAGTGTTAATCAGTTTAAGTCAGAGTAAAGTTTTATTTTTACTTTTGTTTATTTCTTCTTCTTAATATTTGTTATTCACATCTTTGTTATGTTTCATAAAAATCTTTTTTTTTTATTGTGGCATAATTATTTAGCTAAATCCACTTCAATGAATACACATTTCAAAGCCTTGTCTTAAATTGAATGGCACCCATGACACTTATTCAAGCTCCGCTAAAGATCTTAGTCAGGAATAATACCATATTTCATTTTACCTGAATGAAAACAAGGCTGTTAAGGGCAGTCCTTTTTAAATGTACAGTCTATAGCGTCACATATCAGAGCTCCATTTGCAATGCAAACAAAGTATGCAACAGTGTGTTCAATTAAACATACAGCAAATCGGTCCCACATCGACATTTTCGAATTAAACATGGCATCTACTCCTTAGGACTTTAGCTCTAACTATGTACTAGTGATGCACCAATCATGATTTTTCATGTCCGTTTTATTTTTTTACCAGCAAATTGGCCAGTTCTGATAGTCAATTTTTCTTTCTTTGAGCAAATGTATTTGTTGTTTATTTGCTCTATAACAGACAAAGTGGATAAAATGATGCAGCAGAAGAGTAGACACTTGCACAAAACAAAAACAGCAGACGGACTGAATGAAAATGCAAATTCGCTCTCTGACAGTAGGTGGTGCTTATGGAATTTATGGCCGATTTATGGCCGGTCGACCAGTGCATCTTTTACAACGTAACCTCAAAAACAATTTGGATATAATTCAAACAAGGTATTTTCTCTGTAAAAGTGCATTGAATCAAAACTTAACATGAACCTAAAGTGCAAGAAAGCACATAGACCTCTGAAAACAGTTGTGCGTCATATCCAGATATTTATTGGCTATGAAATAAACTGCAAGAGCCTCCAAATTTAGGGCAAAAGACCATTACACGTCTCTGAGTGACTTACTGCAATGAGCAATTTAGTCAAGACA